CCTTTCTGGCTTTCTTCACAGCTTCATGATCATACTTGGCCTTCCAAAATTCGTCAGTGGCCTGTGAATTACAACAAGAGTTTTGAGTAAAGGTAAAACCTTCAAAGGTGAAAGTAAAAAATGCTTAAATTAGGGGCTTACCGCTGGAGCCGGGTTAGCCTTGCAGAAAGGGCTTAAACCTACTTTGCCATAGTTTGACAGGCTCTCATTCAGGAGTGACTTTGTCATATCATCAATGACAACTTCAGGTAAATCGTCAGGAGTGCCGCAGAGGATCATTCTTCTGGCCCGTATAGTCGCACATTAAGCCAGGGCGGCGGCTCAATGGAATAATCCGCCAGGCAAGCCAAACCCGCACCAAGTCGATGCCATTTAAGCCGTTCCCCAAAAGAGCTTTGACTTTACTTATGGTGGGGGCAAGTTCCTGGTGTTCGGCAGGAGATAGCTTATCTGGTAGAGGATGAGTGGAATCGAGGCGCAAGGTGCGAAAGCCAGGCAGTGGGTTCTCACCAGCCGGAGAAATATCTTGACAATAGAACCATGTCTGGTTCCAGTCTTTGAGGTGACTCGATGGATCGGCATACGGAAAAATGCAGTCTCTCCGTCGCTGGATTGAGATCCCACCAAGTTCCAAGCTAGGCCCGTTGGCGCGTTCATTCTGGTGGTTCAAATAAAATAATTCTCTGAAGAGCAGCAAATTGGGTTCTTCTTCAAGGTACACCTCACAGAACACTTGAAAATTGCAGATATTAGACACGGAGTTGGGCCCGATATCTTGAGGTCGGAGGTCAAAAAAGTGCAGAACGTCTCTGAAAAACTTTGAGCCGGGTGGAGAAAAGCCTCGGATCATGTGATCAGTAAAGACAATAACTTCTCCTTCTTTGGGTTGAGGTTTTTCCTCTGTTGGATCAGGAGCATGGTAGGACATGATTTCCTTCTTTGGCAGATAGCCAGTCTTCACAAAATCATTAAGTGTGCTATCTGTGACGATGGATTTGACCCAGTTGCATGTAATGGGTGCTTTGGGTGCCTTGGGCGGCATTGTGAAGATAGAAGCCTAAAACAGAATAAAGATTCCCGGTTCAAATTTAAGCCGGAGCGAGATATTTCAATGCATAATCAATACGGCTGCTTATAAAGGGGCCTAATGGTATAAGGATAATTACGTCGGGTTATTTAAGCCGCCATGAGTTCCACAAGCAGTTAAAGTTATATAAACCATCATGGGTAGTCAAGATTATCAATTGAGCATTGCCTTTTTTAAGCCGGTGATAAGAGTCGCCACAGCCAGATCAATCTAACAAATGCAATTATTTCTACTGTTGCATAAACAAGTTTCACAGGTTGCAGCTATTATTTTGGATCAAACAGCTGTTCAGAAAAGAAAAAAATTCTAGACCTAAAAACGTGGTACAGATGAGTTCGGGAGTTCTAATAAGGCCTCTTTGCAAGCAAAAGGGATCTGCTAGTATCAAAAAGGGACGGGAAACAACTACCGCATAAGTTCTGTATTACTTTTTGGATCAAATAAGGCCGTGGTGAAAGAACTGCGAAGAAATCATGACGAGCCACGAAGAACACAGAAGAGCTTGTAAACCCTAATGCAGATATGAGGTACGGGAAGAAGAAAACTTACAGGTGCAGATCTACTGCGGAGGTTCGCCGCCGTTCTCTGGACAAATTCAGGTCGATGCGGCCAGGGTTGAAGATGACGAAGTGCGCTGCGGCGGCGGAGCTCGAGCAGCGGTAGGGTTGCGAGAGGAGGAAGACGATGGAAAAGGGGAAGAATGAAGAAAGACCAGTCGTGCCTATTTATAAGGAGAAGACTGATAAGTGGGCGCGAAAAACGAGGAGACCGAAACTTATGGGCATCCAACTTGTCAGGACGCCTCGATTTTTGGGATGATTATTAAAGATAAGGATCCGTTGAGGTATATTGGATAAAATATGAATTAATGACAGATGATGTCATGGCGGGTCATTGCAAATCCAGAAGATGACGTCATGGCGGGTTACAAATTTCCGTTCGATAAGGAACAGAAGACTTTTTCTAAGTGACGAAGATTGACATGAACCAATTCAAATCAATCTGGGGTCTAATGTTGAGGATATAATTATTAGTATGACCCGCCCAGGAGGGGCTAGGTTATACTCATGACGACTCATGAAGCCCAAGGCCTAAAGGGCGACTTAAGGCCCGTAGAGATAAACCGCCATATGTATGTAAACTTGTACTATAAGGTAGGAATAGAGAGAAACCGAACCGGACACTGATTATGAGCCGGCCGGGACTCTGTGAACCGCCTCGGGCGTCAACCTCTATATATAAAGGGACGACCCGGGGGCGGCTCAGGGCAAATAACATCAAATCGAGAGCTAGGTAAGTGGATTCGCTCCCTGGTTATCGAGACATAAGTAATCCCAGTCAAACTGGATCGTAGGCTTTTACCTTCATCGTAAGGGGCCGAACCAGTATAAACCTCGTGTCCTTTGTCCCGATTAACCCTTCTTGCTTCCTAGTTGCGATGGCTCCACGACTAAATGCTTTTGATAGGACATCTGCCGTGACAATTCCACAACATGATGGCTCCTCAACTAAGTCATTTCGCTAGAACATCTGCCGTGACAATTCCACGACAGACGGGTCACAATAAAATAACACCTAAAATCAATCCAGGGCAAGCAAGGAGCCAAAATGGTCAGGCATGTGAACAACAAGCCATTCTAATTTACCAGCATAACAGCATGCAATCAAATGCAGGAGGAAGGCAACGAAGAAAAGACACCACTCCGAGCCGGCGAGGATGCAACCATCAAAACCCAACAGGTAAAGACATCGCTCCCAGCCAGTGAGGCCGCAACCGCCGGACGCCCCTTAAGCCGCCTGCTCGCAGCCGCTGAGCACCCGGCCGAGACAGATGTCTCTCCCAACAGTCGAGCTCTCCTTAAGCCGCCTCCATGCACAACATCTCTTACAATCTCGAAACCATAGGCGTACCATGCTGATCGGAAGGACCCACAATCGTGAGCAAAATCCAAAATTGGATACCTCAATCTGAGAGAGCTTCATTCATATGCCACCATTCTGTTTTCCAGTCAGCGCCTTGCAAACTAAGAAAGGGCCAATCAGCTCGAATGTACATTTCAAAGCAGCTGGCTCGAGTTGATTCATATTCAGTATTTTCTGTTACAGACCTTGTAAATCATGTTAACTGAAAGAAAAACTAAACAACGGAATTGTCTGTTCACATCCTAGCGGAAGAAAAGAGACAAAACGCCAACGGCCATAGTCCAGAAAACGCAGGCGACACCAAAGCTCTTGGCTGAAGCAGAAAGCATCTGTTTTACAGATCCAGACTCCAGATGAACCTAGATTGATCTTCATCAAAGAGCAGCACCATACCATGCTTGACTCCAAGTAATCTGGAAAACGGAAACAAATATATCAGTACATAAGAATGCTAGTAATACAAGGAAATGTAACGAGAATGAAGCACAATCAACAGCAAATTTGGGGATAAACCTATACACGATTCACTTTTCTGTTGAGTTTTTCACAACTGCTTAACATGCAAACACCATAAGCCCTCATGTAATTCTATCATCACCGGAACAACTGACACAAGAACCTCCCGCTATTCTTATGTACACCCTCCATTTCTAAATACAAGACTTTATAGAGATTTCAATATGGACTACATATGAATGTATATAGACATATTTTAGAGTGTAGATTCACTCATTTTGCTCCGTATGTAGTTTGTATTGGAATCTCTAAAAAGGCTTATATTTAGGAACGGAGGGAGTAGAATTCAATAACCACAAATCCATGACGTCAGTTTTTAGATACAAGTCAGCTTTACAAGACAACAGATGCTCAAACCTCAAAGTCTGGACTATGAGGCCTGGACACTGATTGTCAAGTCAATGGCTCTCATGATGGTAGTACGACAAGTTGGTAACACGTCTCTAACAGACTCTAACAGTTAATAAACAAATAACATCATAGTATCAACACCTAATAAAGGCCAGTATCACAAGAATAGACAATCAGCATGTGCACCACATGATCAAAGCTGACAAACAAGAATATGTGATAATTAGAGACCAAATTTTAACATATTTGAAACAAATTCCTCTCAGAATTTACGAAATATTGGCGATTGTACTTCAGCCTATTGGCGAAAGAAGAAGGAAGGCAGCGACCAGGATCTAATGGGAAACTAAGCCCACTCCATAATCTACCAAGCTCACAATACTCATTCATCACCAGCTCAACTAATCTAAGCATGAAAGCCCAGTACAAAAGAAGATCTTCAAATGCTTCCAATATAAAACAAATAACCAAAAACTTAAAATCAAGTCAGCATAACACCAGAGAAAAGATTTTGAGCATTTCCTACTCACAACAGAAAACCATGAATCAGAAACCTATGTATCTAATATAAGCATATGACCACAAATTCTAAACTGGCATGCACAAGAGTCGACCATTAGAATTTATCAGATCAGATCAAAGAGGACCTGATAACTAAGAATTTGACCGAACAGAAGATGAGATGCATCATCAAAAAATTAAACCATTCGCCTATACGCAGAGCAATCGCGTGTGCGTGGCGGTGAGCTGACCAGACGACGCAGATGCAGCAACACACTGGGAGACTACACACAGAACATTCATTATCTAGGATTTCCAGGGGGTCTATCAACTGACTAATATCTCCTAGATCGCTAGTCGCTATCATAAGTCAAGCCTTGGTCTCTCATCATGCAAAATCGCTAAACATACAATTACTTGAGCATTGCTTTGCACAAATAAGATAGCCTAGATCTCTGGTTACATGTTCAAAATGGGTGAACACCTAAGCATATCAGAACATCTGCATTGGTTCCACATAAGGCAATATAGCATACAAAAACACATCATCAGTCCCCTAAGTCTATTACAGTAACCTAAAATCTGACTTTAAGAGGCCAAATTCCTTACCTAAACTCTTATATCAGAGGTAAGCAGGGTTGCTGAGGAACGGCAGTGCAGCAAGAGACATGAGCATCTCCGAGGTACCGTTCTTGGCTTGCTTTACCCTCGAAAGTTGAAGCTGCATGTCCACGAAAGCCTGCATCCGCTTGAGTTCCAGATCCTTGAGGAACTTGATCCGCTGCTTCTCCATCTCCTCTGCATGCCTCTGCTTGGCAGCCTCCATGCGCTCATACATCTCAGCGAATGTCTCCATAGCCATCGCTAGCTCCCCAAAACCTCCGGCCCCGCCCCTCTTCCTTTTGTTGCCGCCACCGCCGCCCCCACCACCGCCAAGAACAGGAGGACCGTTACCACCAGAGTGAGACGACACTGAGCGCGAGGCCGATTGCTGCGAGCCCTCGTCGTCGTCATAGTTGTTGTTGTTATTGTAGCCATCGTCCGAGTCGGAATCCGCGGCAGCCGCAGCTGCGGCGGCCTTATGGAATAGGTCAGCGGCCGGGAGGTTGGACCCGCGGCGGTAGTTGGGCAGGGGGAGCGCCATCGGCGGCGCCGGCGAGGGCGGCGACGGGGAGCGAGAGGGCGACATGCGCCTCCGCAGCATGGGAAGCGCGCGGGGCGGGGAGGGCTTCTTGGCGGCGGCGGCCGAGAGGGTCGGGCCGACGAGGACGTCGAGCTGGCGGAAGAAGGGCCAGGGCGAGGGCCCGCCCCGCGCCCGCTCGGCCTTGTACTTCTTCTTGAGGGTATCGACCCGGTTCTTGCACTGGATGTCGGTGCGCGGGGGCCGGCGGCGCGCGGAGGCCCCCGGGCGGGTGTTGACGGCGTCGGCGACCTCGCGCCACTGCGGCTGGCGGAGGCTGCCGCGGTTGAGGTCGATGTATCGCGACCCCCAGGCGTCGACGAGGGCGGCCGTCTCGCCCTCGCTCCAGCAGTCCTCCCGGTACGGGAGGTTGGGGTTGGGCGGCGGCAGCTTCCCGTCCATGGC